TTTTTATTTGGGGATTTTCTTCGATAAACTCTTTAATAAAACTGTCAGAGTCGTATCCTGTGTCTATCCCAGTTTATTCTGTTTCTCTAGTATTTTTTGCAATTTTTGGCGTTGGTTATCATTGTGACATTCAACTATTAGTCCTCCATTTTGAAGCTGTCTGACACTTTTAACTGTTTTATTTGAGCCATTTAAGTTTTTCTTCACTTCTTTCAGCATATACTCAGCTTGATCTGGGTTTTTAAATTTGATTAACATGTCATGTTTTCTTGTTCTTAGGGAAGTTGTCCAATGTTCTTTCCCGATGTCGTCACTTTGATGTGGGGTGGTTTTTGTGATTGTGCTATATGTCTTTGGGGCCTTTCCAATGACTACTTGTGTTTGGGGGCAGTCTACTGGTTTAGTATTGTTTGTATTTGTCCTTTTTATTTTAATTTCTCGTTGCAATTTTAAGTTTTATTTTTCGAGTTGTCCTACTTTATATACTAAGGTTGTGACTGTTTTGTGGACTTTAAAACTTGCCTTCCTCATCTTTGAAAGGTCGTCTTTATTAAATTGTTCTTTCTCCGAGACAGTGTGAATGTTTTCCAATGCTTCCAGTATTTCTTCAATTAGTGTGACATTGTTAGTACTTGCAAAGTGTAAATCTTCATCTATTGTAGCACCATTATTAATGTGGTCCTCTTCTTTAGCATTTTCGGTCTGTTTTGGAATCTTTTGTCTGTCTTGTATGACCGGAGGACTGGATTCTGATCTTGGCCTTTTTTGTGTTTTGGTGTCATCAAAACTTGGTTTCGATGGTGTTCTTGCCATTAATTTTTTAGGTGTAAAAATACTCATTTCGTTGCTTTGTTCAGTTGTTTTATCCAATTCTAAATTGTTTTTATTGTGTTCCCCTTGTAGTTCGATATTTTGGTCTGCCTTATCAAGGAATGTTGCATTCATTGGATTGTCCCTTTTTAAGGTAGATAACCAAATAATTTTATTTATTTGTACCTGTGAATAATCAATGGATTCCAGTGAAGAACTTCTGGATTTGAGGACGATCTGAGGAAATTGTAACTACTAGTTTCAGAGTAGGTATAACGTACTTACTCTGAACAGATCTTTACTGAATGGAAAAATAATTTCGATAAACAGCAAATACTTTCTGCAGATTACTTAATTCATACATTCATACGCCCTTTTTCAAACGTTGACGATACCACGTTTGATAAATGGGAATATCCTTTTAGAAACCTCAGCTAGTGATCCTAAAAAACCCATAACCTAGAAAATAACTAGTTAAAGAATGAAAAAAAGATTAAAATTAGTAAAGTCCAAGTCGGCAATGCAATAAATATCAATTAATTACAGATTATGCCGAGTGCAAAATCGAATATGGAAGGGTTTTGAAGTGTTCGAATACTACGCGAACAACCAATGGGACTTTGACAATCAAGAGTCGCTGAGTCTTAGAGATGCTTTGTTGAACCCAAGAGAAAGGGAAAACTACAAGTGTGATGGTGACGGGATCGATTACTTTGAATATTTCTCTACTTGTGTACATGCTGCAAGATTGTATATTCTCAAAGAGACTGACGACACATTGCCAGCTGCACGAAGACATATGTTTGTGTAAGTTGTACTTACCTGCAGAAGTCTGGAACTTTACTAAATTTAAACATTTTCAGCATGTGGATCGTCGACAAAGTATGCAAGGGACTGTTTCTCTTTGCAGTTATGTATTATCTTTATCAGAAAGTGCTGAGCCCTTTATTGGCAGCTATATAGCAATACATTTAGCTAATATTTTATAATATGCGTAGCTATTGTAAAGTTTTATAAAAATAAATATTGTTTCTATCTCCAATATTATTCCGATTACCTCATTAATTTGCTAGACTCTAAAGGAATAAAACAGACAACTACTGGTTAAAATTAATTTGTAAAATATTATACTACAGAAGCGATTACTCAATAAGTGCACATGTGCACGTGCACACTAAAATTTTCAATGGCTGTTTTTATAAAAACATTTTTAAATTGTATCATTCTTGAAATACTGTCATCATAGCTGCTTAATAAATCCAAAAACAATTCGTCTAAACTAGGCTTATTAAAATTATAGAGAAGATTGCGGATAAAATTTTAAATTTTTTAAAAGTATAATTTACAAATGATTTTCCAATGTACATGGTGTCCCAATTACTAGACTCAACTTATTTTTTTAATTTAATATCCTCTATTTTATCATGTTATTAATGCCTACGATCGAAATAAACATGAGTTTTATTAAGGATTGTGTTACTTAAAGCTTACGGTTTCTGAGATATTTGGATTTTTATGAAAATGGAGACGGTTTCTGTTAGTTTAAATTATCCCATTGCAAATTCTACTTTACGGATACCAGTAGATGCAGTGTGTTAAAAATTAATAAAAATTAAACTAATGCATTCAGGGAATCCCAACCTTGGGTTCAAACAATTTTGTTTTGTTATTATTGTTTTTACGAAACACATTTAAAAATGAAAAGTACTCTACAGCAGAACGATTTGTTATGATTTTTTATTCTGAAAGTCTTCACAAATGTTTAATAACAATCTTGCATGTACAGGATTATTGATTGAACTTTGACCGCAATCAAAATCTATGATCAATGCCTTTGATCTGAAAATGGTAGTTCTTGATTCATTCGAATAAAAATAATAATACAATACATATTTTCGATCTGAGTTAACTGTTATTACTAATGAATACAAGTGTACTTCAGCGTGGTTGTACCTGACTAACTTTTACATGATTCAAATTGTATGATGATCAGCGGTATTTCTTGGCTGCTGATCCAGCGGAATCTATGGGTACTGCCACKAACTCCCGCAAATTGCGATAGGTGACCCGATAAATTATTAACTTTAATAATTTCGACATAAATCCTGAAARTATGCKCTTTCCATACAAACCTGAACAGTTAGATATAGGATATCTTTATATTATTCAATAGAAAGTTTAATTTTTCATCTGTCCCTGTCATAAAGTACAAGGTGTCCTATTTAATTTCAGTAAATTATTACCGTTCAAAACGTGCAACTGTTTGATCACAATTTTAGAACACCCTGTATGTCTTAGTCTAATTTCTATTCATKTGTCACAAAYCSGCATCTGTTGGTAGCCGCAAAATAGAATTGGATTTCGAAATTTAAATTGGGTGTTGAGAATTTTAAATAYAAAAAGTTCGTCATTTTCACGAAACTCCAAATACCTCCGAAACCGTAAGAGTCAATTACGGTAAACCTGAATAAAAATAACATTTATTTCTATCGCAGATCTAAATTTTTGAAAATATCTGTTTTGATAAGAATTTTTTTACTTTTTTTATACTACCTAATCACCCCCCAGGCAACACCCCCCGAGGAATTACGCCAAAACCATCTGCACAGGGCCTATTCTGTATATTGACGGCCAATAACATAGAAGCGAGGGTTCAGTCATAGAGAAAGTAAAATAAGAGAGGTGGCAATCATATGGGCGTCCTTGTCACCGCGTTACGCAGGTAGCGCTGCAACTGGCTGACCGGCGACTGACGGCACTAAAATTTCGAGTTTTCGGCCAAGAAGTTCTGAGCATGTGCGAAACGTGCAG